TCATTGGCATTCTGTCTAAAACCTTGGGCTACTAATCGTGCCTTATGGATTATATTTCCATCTTTATCAGATTTTACCTTAAAGATCCATTTGCAGCCAATGGACTTCATATCTACAGGTAATCTCGCATTCTCATATACTTTCATATTCTTTAATGAGTTCAGTTCCTTATTCATTGCTGCATACCAACTTTCCTTATCCTTAGTAGGATACATTTTTATTTCATCTACAGTACATGGAACTTTATTAATCTGGCACACTGTGTTAGCCTGGTACCTATCAGGCGGTCTAGATATTCGTGTAGTTCTTCTGGGAATTACAGGGCTTGCAGGAGGACTTTTTTGAACTACTACCTGTTCATCTTCCTCATCCTGCTCAGCTATTGGATCTATTTCTTCCTTTATGGGCTCTATTTCTTCCTGTATTTCTCTCTTTACTTTATTCTTAAAGTTACAGGGATAACTAATGGGATTTCTATAGGATTCAATAATTACTTCTTTATTGGTATCCTGTTCTAACTTCTCCCATCCTATGTGCTCTAGAAATTGGGCACTAGTACTACATAACACCTTAGATGTGCCTTTCTCCCAAAATCTATATGCCCTATGGTTTGCCTGGTAACCAACGAAGAAAAATCGTTTAGCTCTATGTTGCCCTTTTTTTCTGAGTTGTGCAGGAATATGCACCCATGCTGGTGCACCAAATGTGTGCAGGTAACTTAGGTCAGGTTTCCTGCCATGCCACTTGGTGAATGGTATTTCACCTGTCGTTGTGTTAACAACGTTGTTCAATATGTTATTAGCACACATTATAGCCTCCCCCCACAAAGAATCAGGTAATCCAGAATCAGTTAACATTGTTCTAACCATTACCTGTAGTGTTTGGCCTCTTCTCTCTATGAATGCGTTGTGTTCTGGCCTGTATGGTACAGACTTTTTGTGCTCTATTCCAGCTACCTTTAGTCTGTTCTGGAATTTGTTGTTAACAAATTCCATACCATTATCTGTCACCAGGGTTATCAGTTGCCGTTTAGTCTTTCTTTCTGCAAATTTAAGCCAGTTGAAAAAATGTTGATATGTTTCAGTTTTGCTCTTCATTAAGTAGCAAAACCCATATCTAGAATGGTGGTCCATAATGCTCAGTATATATCGAGCACCCCCCATACTGGGTTTCTTTGGACCTATAATGTCTGCAAATATCACTTCTAAAGGTTCTTTGGTTTTGAAACCATTTAGCCTATTTGCAGGCAATACTTTGCTCTTATCTTCACAGCAAACATTACAACGCAAATATTTATCACAAGGTTTTAACCTTATTCCATCAGATAACTCTACTGTACGTTTTAGCATTTTAAAATTTACATGCCCCAAACGCCTATGCAATAAATGGATACATTCATTATGAGGCTTTATATTGTTAAATACAGTCTGTGCCTCCCCTTTCTTACTATCATCTAAGACGTATAACGTTCCATTTAAAGCTGCAGTTACCCTTTTTTTATCCTTCTCAATTATGCAATTATTATTTTTAAATGTAATTACATAACCTAGTTTGACTAATACCCTTACAGAAAGCAAGTTGAACTTTAGTTGCGGTACATACAACATTTTTATATCCTGATTTATGTACGGACAATGTGCAGTACCTTCTCCTTTCGCTTTCAGGTTCCAGCCATTAGCAAGTGATATATGTTGAGAGCTTGTAGACATTTTTACAAATTTTGTCTTATCTCTCGTGATGCAGTGGGATGCACCACTGTCCACCACCCATAAATCATTCTTCACATCACAGTTGCTAAACATGGTTAGTTCAAAGGCTTTCTTGGGCTTTTTTACATTCTGGCTTTTTCCCTTTTTGCAGAAACTTGCCAAATGTCCTCTTCCTCCACAATTAAAACACTTTTTAATTGTGTATGCTGTCGAAGATAAATTCTCTTCTTCCGGGTGCTTTCCTTTACTAAGCTGGTTTCTATCAAGCTTTGAAGATAATTTCTCTTCTTTCTTAGATTTATCTTCTCTCAGCTGGTCACGTTCACACCTTCGTCTGGCTTCTTCTAGTAGCCTGCCTGTAATCTCGGTTAATGAGAGGCTATCCTTAGGCAATACTTCCAACGAAGTCACAGTCATCATAGCTTTGATCTAATGAAGATAATATAATGTATACTTGTTGCAGCTCATTAAAGATAAGCTCTTTTTCTTGTAATTCTTGAAAAATGCTCTTCATACAGTTTAAATGAGCTAACATGTCTCCATTCCTTTGAAGATGTGTTCGAAACAGCTTCCGTGTAAGATTTATATGTGCTCCTACACTGTCCCGAACATATATCTTCCTGAGGTTCTCCCAGCAGTTTGCAGCATTTTCTTCTCCACGAATATGGACAAGCTGCTGGTCACAGAGAGTCAGTCCTATGATGCATAAAGCCTGCTCGTTCTTCCGTTTATAGTCTTGTAACTTTTGGTTATCCTCTTCATCATCAGGATCCCAGCTACTCACATCTGGTGGATTTGTTATTATGTCCCACAAACCTTCTCTACGTAGAAGTAAATTACATTTCATTGACCATGAAACATAGTTTGTTCCATCCAGCCTGGATATCAGGGACAGATGTGGTAGATTTACTTGTGCCATTACTCTTCAGATATATGACTATTTTAAACTAATAAAAACAGTTTGTTTTTACAGTAATGTGCAACTCACACCAACTCTCACTGCTATATGCTGGTTAGTTAGACTGCGCAGCGGAAGCGTGCTGGGCCCATAACCATTGTTAGTGTTTGGGGATAAACCCCTAGCAAAGTATGCAGCAGCAGTCAAGCCAGGCAGCCAAATGAGAGAGGAAGGGTTTTAGAGTATACACACACTGAACACAAACACTGTTTGTAGTTTAAATAGTTTTTAATCCAGTTAGAGTTTAAGCATTGTCAATCAGTCCGTATGTCATTCACAATATATCCATTCAGTAAGACTCACTAACTCAGTCCAGATAATACTCCTTACTATATCTTTATCAGCCGATAAAGATATCTTCTCCTCCTCCGATGCCTTTCTCCAGAGGATAACACTGGATATTCAGTAGAATGATCAAACAGTAGACAGTCGCAGTAAAACAGTAATAAACAGTTGTATCCAGCAGTAAACAGCAGTAAACAGTAAACAGCAAACGGTAAACAGTAAAACAGTAGGCAGTAAGTAGCAAGCTTTCTCCTGCTTCCTCTTATTGCAGTTTCTAACCGCACCCTTAATTGGCTAATTACATGCAGTGTGGTGCTTAAAATTACAAACACTTAAACTATGATACCTTAGTTTATATATTTATCCACCCAAACCTTGTTGGGTATCAATGTTATACCTAACAATATGTATGTGCAAAACAATGACAGGTTGCTACAATTTTGCCTGGTCTTTGGTGTGTTCTTTAGCTGTGTGCTAAATAGTGCTTAGTAATATATGTGTGCCACATTTTGCTAAAAGAGCAAACAAAATGAAGTTATACAAATTCAACAACACAGTCCAATACTGCCCGAAGAAATTATTATTTTTCTGTTTCCTTTCATGATGTATATGATCAAAATCTGGGAGAAAGGCTTTTGCTGGGATTAATGTGATGGTCCATAAACTATTCCTTTGATTTCCCATTTGCTCAAAACATGCTATATTAATGTATAAGTGGAGAAGAGCCACATTTTAAAGTTGAGAATAACAGTACTAAAAACTATACATACAGCTGGAAAACCAAGATCAGAGAGGATAAAACCCGTCATCTTTCAGACTTTTCCAAGGAAATTAATGGAATAAAGAAGCAAGAGCATTAGACACTAGCTGTTAAGGCCAAAACATATGAAATCTTTTACCAATTCATTTCCATTAACTCAAACAACAAATGAGAACAAAATACAGTTTCTATAGAAATAATGAAGAGAAAAGTGATTTAACGGATACACTTGGGTAGCTACAAAACTGAACTGAATCCATATGCTTGATGAGATCTGGAAGGGAAAGCTTGCCACAGGGTCTGATCTTAAAGGAACACTGTCATCAGGGGACTATAGGAAGGGACCTTCTCTGCTCCAGCCCTTCCCCATCCAAAGCAGCATATCCTAAGACAGTGATGGCGAACCTTTTTCTTGTGGTGTGCTAAAAGTGTGCCTGCGCCGGCACCCACAATGTAATGCACCCCGCCCCCCATGTGCATGCGTGCGCAACACTCCTGCCCTGCCCCCTTACCTGCACTGCGCATGCGTGTGCCTCCCAGCTGATTTTTGGCCTGTTTGAAGCCATTTTCGCCCTCCCGGAGGCCCGATGGAAGCCTCTGCAGCCTCGGGAGGCCGAAAAACGGGCCTTCCAGAAATACTGGAAGTGTCTGTTTTCAGCCTCTGGAGGGCCTCTGCAGCCAGGGGAGACCGTTTTTGCCCTCCCGGAAGCTTGGGGGAAGCCTCTGCAGCCGCGGGAGGCCAAATAATGAGCCCTTTTCGGCACTTCCGGTATTTCCAGAAGGCCCGTTTTTCAGCCTCTCGAGACTGCAGAGGCTTCCCTTGAGCCTCCAGGAGGACAAAAACGGCCTCAAAGGGGCCAAAAATCAGCTGGGAGGCGCACGCATGCACAATGCAGGTAAATTTGGCTGGGCCTCACGTGCCTGCACAAATGGGTCTGCATGCCATAGGTTCCCCATCATGGTCCTAAGATATCACAATAGTTCCAACCCTGCTAGGATTTCAAAAATCCATGAAGGCTTGGCTCTTCTGAAAGACCTTTAGGGATGGGGTGGGGATGAGATTGCCCCTCCCATAAGGTATAAAGGACATGCAAAGGTAGACAAAGTCGTTCGCTCTGTTCGGATTTATCCTTGAAGCTCTGTGTGGACTTTGTAGTATGGTTGGTTTTTTATAGTTCATTTGGCACTTTAATTGTTGGCAGCAATTCAAAGGAGAGAAAGGTGGGTGCTTATCTCGAGGGATTGTTTGGGACTCATTACAGTCTGAGAATGAGCATAATTCCCAGTGCTGAAATAAAACAAGAGTTGTTTTAACTAAGCGCGTGCTTAATTATGGTCTCAGGAAGCCTTGGTCAGAACAAGGAGTGACTGGGCAGGGGAGAATGCAGTTAGCAATGTCAGGACCAGCCAGGGGCATGATTTGCCAGTTCTGCGAACTGTGCAGAACCGTAACAACCAGTTGTATAGAATTGGTCAGAACCGGTAAAATCCCACCCCTGGTGCAAGCAGTATTTTCAATTTCCTACTGAATGTTTATTCTCCTATTAATTCTTATGTCAAAAATTATTAACAAATAACTAAATTAATTAACAATTTAACAAACGCTCCCTCATCTAGATCATGGTAGGCAATCTCTTTGACCAGAGCTCAATATAAAAATTAGTATAAGTTGGGGCACAGGCAAGCAAGGAGTACAAATACACAAAAAAGTGTTTTCCGCAATTCTTCATACTTCAAACATATATATAGAGATGTGGAAATGGATGTACAATATTTCCCTGTCTACACACAGCATAGACGTTTAATTATGCTGATTCTAGTCCTAGTGCAGTTAAAATAACTGCTTGGTAATTTCCTCTGCAGCAGTCCTTTTGGGAGAAGTAACCAATCACATAAAATATTTCCTAAGCTATTCAGAATTAAATGGCTGAATTTTTCTCCCTGGTCACTTGTTCATATAACTTTAAAGCTGTACCCAAACGTTATATGCATAAAATATACACATAAAATGTAATAATCCAAATATGATTAATGACATAAAAACTGATATTTAATACTCTATATTGATTCTACTGCTTGCACAGATGAAGTGACATATTAAGCAAATAAGACAAAAAACAGCATACTCTTCCCAATTCGAAAGTTTCTTTTAAAAAAACCAACCCAGCCAGAGAGAGGCAAGATAAAAAATGTCCTACCTCTGCAAGTTGTCTCTGAACCAGACCAGGCACCATTTGGCTGGCAAAGTCGTATGCTACTTCCAACTAGATCAAATCCTGTTTTACATCGGATTCCACAAGCGGCATTGAAGTAATTGTTGCAGACATTCTGGATAAAATAACCATTTTCTGGAGGCTGCAGCTCAGGGCAGTGGACCACTAATTAGAATACACAACAGTAAGGAAATAATTCACAACACATTTCTATTTTATTCAAAACTTCAGAACCACAGTGAGTTCAACGGGGGTTTCTCCCAGATATTAAAGAATATCTTCTTTAAGATATTCACTTAACCTAAAGACTGTAACTTTATTGTCCTTCTTGCTATTCTTACACTGATTATAACAACCAAAAACTGGAAAAAAATATTTGCACTATTTTTCAATCAATATCCTAATCAATAGATTATTGCTTCTATTTCATCGATGTCTTTTTCTGTTTCAAAGGGCAATTAAAGCGTGTGCCTAAAAAATATTGAAGTTGCTGGAAATCCCCTGAAAATACCTGCAACAAATGAAAGAAAATAAAAAATAATGCAACAAATGAAAGAAAATTGCCTAAAATAATTTTCATCCACTCCTTCTGTATATTATATAGCCATGGGCATCTGACAACCATGAGCATTGCAAGGGACAAGGGAGATGCAAATTGGCAATATAATACACTTGAGGAAATCCTCCTGTAAATGATGTCATGTACATCCTTGGATCAGATATCCAAAAGCAAGAGGTTATTTCAGTGATGACATCATCACATATGTGTAATTATTAGGTTACTGTGGTTTGCCACATGCACTTTTGACATGAAGGGAAATATAACTTTATAGATTTCATGGAAATACATACTAATTTCCCAGTGGACAAATTCAAGTAAGAAATATTGTTCATGATGTTAAATTTTTGATTGAGCTGTTTCTTTAAGAAGTAGCTTACCTTCACACGCTTTACCTCTAGGACGATACCCTTCCTTGCATATACAGTCCTCAATAGAAGTACTTCCTGGTGGAGAAGTGTGATTCTCATCAGGACATGAGGTGCAGGTGCTTATTCCACCTGGTGATCCTTCAGGCTTGTAAGTTCCAGATGGGCAGACTACAAAGCAAAATAGATATATAATAAAGGCAAGCCAGGATTAGGCTAGTAAAACAAATAGTTATGCAACATCTGCAGTTTTGCTCCCTGACTTCCAAAACTGATGACAGAGGGGCCCCTATGTACTTTATTCACAGATTGCATCAATGTGTATGCTACTTCATGATACCTTTGCATCAAAATCAAGTCAGTCATTCTTTGGGAAAAGAAACAGCAATATGTAGGTAGGAATTTTGTATTATACAAACTCTTTTGTGTTGCAGGAAATTACGAGACTCAGACCTTGGAATCCAAAAATAAGTTGGTTTTATTTGCGCAAACAGGTTCAGAATAGTTTAGTCAGAGCTACTTCTGAACAAATTTCTTACAGAACAGCACATGCCTATACACTTCTTCAGAAGGGGCAAAACACAGAAATATAACTTGTCAGTCATTCATTGGTTACTTGAAACACAGCTTTCCCCCCTCCCGTTGCTAGGCTAGGATGGCTGGATGTCACAAACCCATCCTGCTAAACTCCCTAGCTTGTGGTTTTGTTACAAGCCAGACAAGGTTTCTTGGCAAATATGACTTTGTGACCGATAGGTAATCCTTGTAGTTTGGCTTTTCACACTTCCTTGTTCTTTCTCTTGCTAATACCACATACCGTATATACTCGAGTATAAGCCGAGTTTTTCAGCACATTTTTTGTGCTGAAAAAAAAAAACCCCTCGGCTTATACTCGAGTCAGATTCCCCTCTGAAAAAAAAAATGGTGTGGAGCTCCGGAGCTGGGCAGCCGCTTCCCTGCTTCCGTGTTTCCTTTGCAACTTGTAAGCATGGGGGTAATCGGAAGCAGAAAAGTTCTTGCATGAGGATATATTGTTTTTTCTTTTTTTAACTGTTTTTAGGGGGGGGGAAAGACCCACCGTCATGTGAGAATGCTCAGACACCAAATCTATCCGCCCGAAAATAAGTGTGTGTGTGTGGGGGGGGGGGATTTTAACAGAGGGAAGACGTAGGGAGAAGGCAAAAGCGACGGAAGATCCTTCAGGGGAAACTGAAGGGGAGACTCACCCTTGGTCCAGATGAGCCCCCTTCCCCGCCCCTAAGGAAGCAGAGGCAGCCAGCAAGGGCAGGCAAGCCCCACTTCGCAGACTCCGTCCGTCCTCGCTCCCACCCACCCAAAGCCACGAAGTCCCCCAATCACGCAGCCCAGAATCGCCCTCCCCTCAAGGGGCAGCAACGACGCCCGGTGTTTCCCGAGACAAGAAGCTCCGCCGTGCAATGAAAGCGCCCTGGCTCTAGGCTCGCGGGCTCAGAAAACAACGCGAGCCGAGGTGGCTTCGGCTCCGCTTGGCTTTGTTTCCTCAGCCCCAGCTGCTTTCAGTCCGCTCGGGAGGAGGGAGGAGGTGGCAGCGGCGGCTTGGGATTTTGCATTTGCAAGGTGCAAAGCGGCGGCGGCGGATCGCGCGTGCTGGAAAGGGCTTGACTGTATTACGGAGAGAGAGAGAGGGAGAGATCATAAGAACGGCTCTTGCTTTTTTCTTGCAAGGGAGAGTGATTCCTGCCTCCCACTGTCATCATCATCTTCTTCTTTTGGGTTAGTGAATCAATTAAACCTTTCATGATAGTGAGATCGTTTCCCAAATTTCCCTTAAATCAGGGAAGAAATTAGAAACAAACCTTTGGACTGAGAATAAGCCTGTTCCTATGATGCCCATTTTTGTTCACTGCAGTGTGAAAAGTGTGAAAAAACACACTTCTTTTTCTTCATCTTCTTGTTCCCTATTTACAGGTCTCTTTCAAAGAGGAAATTGTGAACATCAAACTTATTCTCAACTGTCCTAGTGAAAGTTTTTATTGGTATCTATTTTTATTTTTGAAATTTACCAGTAGCTGCTGCATTTCCCACCCTAGGCTTATACTCGAGTCAATAAGTTTTCCCATTTTTTTTGTGGTAAAATTAGGTGCCTCGGCTTATATTCGGGTCGACTTATACTCTTCAAAACTTGTATCATTATTTCTCTAAAATTAATATATTTTTATGCCCTGCCTTATTTGGGCTTTTAGATTTTATGCCTCAAATTAATTTCTTTATTTCATCTTGTTCATCTAGTCCCAATGTACATATTATATTTTAAATCTTCCTCAGTTTCATTTTTAAAAACAATTTCAGCATGAAGGGAAAATAGATATAAAGAGAACACATTTAAGAGCTACATATTAATAATGCTTTTATTTAGGGAACTCAATTAGAAGTGAGAAATAATCTGCATATGTCATTTTCCTCCATATCAAATGCTAATAGCTGGTCACATTACAGACTTTTGGCTCCCCTTTGCTTTGCTGCAGATCCTTAAGAGCCTATTATGTCTTCTATTATACTATATCTCTCTTTTGCAGAAAGTGGAATTGTTACATCAAAAATGTCAAGAGATTTTCACTACCAGGTGATCTTCTGGTGGAGAGGTTCAAAGGAAAAAATATATTTAATTGTTTAGAGCGATCAGCAAATTCACACACACGTATGTATGCACTTGCACAAAATGGAAGCTGTTGTTTCGCGAACCTACACAAATCATGGCCAGTCTTTGTAGGTTTGCATTAAGACAGTTTTACCCAAGTCAATGCTTTTGCTATCCAGATTGTTGCAGCATATACCAAGTTGTTTACAATCCCTTTAATATTATCTATTAAAAATTATTTAATACAGTTTAGCAGGATGTAAATTAGGATTATCTTCATGGGCTTGATTCTATGCTTAGATTTAAAAATAAATTTTACATTAGAATGCTAATACGATTATATACAAAAAGCTTATTATAAAATGGTAGAATTGATTTCAAATGAATTAATCAAAAACTGAATATCATCAGTTTCTGCAGCAATCACATTGCAAGATCACTTTTTACTATAGCAAAATTAGATGTTGTAGTAGACAACTTATTACATTCATACATCTTTTACAATACAATATCGTTAGATCAATCCCCATGCCTTTTTCTTCCAAAATTTTATCCTATTTTACCCTTTCGATCTATATAATGTTTTCCAAAGGTTTTTAATATCCTACGGCCATTCAGCAAATATAAGTCATCACTACATAGTATTACCTTTGCCTCCCTGCTAGGGTAATGCCATTCTAATATATCTACAAATCTTATAATCCCAGTTGCAGGTCCCCCAAATGATTGGTGTTTTAACTTTTATTTTTATTAAGAGTTAAGAAATTTCAGAAACAGTTCAGCCATATGTTGAATAATCACACATTCTTTGGATTCAGCAATAGCAGTAAGCAAAAGTGCAAAAATTTTAGTAGCATAATGACTTCAATTCAATTATAAATTACCAAATGTAAGAGTGGGATTATGCCCTATAATTCCTTTGCTTTGAAGTACATTGATTTTTAAAATAGTGACTTTAACTTGTTCACTAGTGTTTTTAAAATTAGATAACATATCCTTGAGAAAAAAATCAAACAGTGCTATCATTTCCATATATTCATTCATAATGCAAACTGCGACCATTTAAAATAGGGGGCCCTAACCCTCAGTCCACAGACCTGTATTAGTCCATGGCCTGTTAGGAACCCCCAGTTTGTGGAAAAAAATGATCTTCCATGAATTGGTCCCTAATGCCAAAAAGATTGGGGACCACTGATTTAAAAGACCAGCAAAACATACAGTTTCAAGTATGGTGGCTTAACTTTCCTGCTACTCCAAGGACTGGAGGAAAGTATCTCTGAATAGTCTCTCCTGAGTATTTCTTTCTTCTCTTTTCCTCTACCATCTGGATAGAAAGCTCAGAGATGCAATTTCCTTGAACTTTACTTGCCCTTTTGGATCGCCCTCTATTTACAGTAGTTTTAATAGGATTATTTCTATGAATGTATGATGTATTAAATAACATTCATTACAGTAAATAAACTGGAAGGTTCCAACTAGGATTACTTCACATTTCCCTATGGAAATGTTCATACTGTCTATGTGCAAAGAATACTATTTTAGAATTTTGATCTTTATACACATATTTTCTCAATGACACTAATATTTAATATGAATTTGTAAGTAAATTATAAAATAAAACTTTATATAAAGACACAGTGAAAAATATATCATAACGTGACAAAAGGGCTTATTTCTGTGGCCTGGAAGCATATTCCTCAAACTTAATTCAATCTGTGACGGCTGCGACAGCTAAGAAAATAAACATTTTAAATGGCACACGTCTACTCTACAAACATTTGTAAGTCTATGTATCTAGAGATTAGAAATATTGATTCAAAGCAACATATACACTTGTTGAAAAGCTTATTTATTAAATCAACAGAAGTTACTGAACCAATCGGAAAGTTTTGAGAGCATTTTTTGGTCAATGTGGTTGCCATAAAGGGCACTGTGTATGGCTATTCTCACAATCTCAGGTGTGGCATGAAACCTCAAAAAAACAGGCTGCACAAATAGAATTAACTGCCCCCTAATGTAGAAAAACATCAAAATAGTAATATTTCAGACTCTTCAAAGGAATTTAGTAGAATAAAGGGACAAGGATATAAAGGGTATAAGACTCTGTGTGGAGCGGCAATTCAAAAAAGGTTAATCAAATTGGTCCTTAGCTTTAAAGCCCTTCAGTGGCATTAGTTCAGGTTATCTGAGGAATCATTTTATGCCCATGGGATTGGATCACCCCACCTGCACGAGAAGGGCATGCAGTGGACCCCAACAATCAAGGAATTCCAATTGGTGGGCCCAGAAAAGGAGACTTTTCTGATGTGGAGCCCAACATCGGACACCCCATGGTAAGATTTTGACCTTCTGAAAAGACCTGAAGACCTGGCTCTGCCAATTGGCTTGGGACCCCAATGGGTGTGTCATTCTGGAGGTAGTGAATGGACTAAGATTAAGACCTCACTTTCTCTCCCTGTGCATCTTGTCCCTTCCTCCCCATCTTTGTCAATTGTCAAGAAAGCTAATTGTTGGAGCAGAAGAGTAAATATCACAACACTTATTACATAATTCA